AATGCCAGGTACCCCAGCTACCACACAACACCAATGACTGGTACCATACCACACAACACCAATGTCAGGTACCCTATCTACCACACAACACCAATGTCAGGTACCCTGCCACACAACACCAATGGCAGGTACCCTAGCTAGCACATAACACCAATGTCAGGTACCACCCTACCACACAACACCAATGTCAGGTACCCTACCACACAACACCAGTGTCAGGTACCCTGCCACACAACACCAATGTAGGGTACCCTGCCACACAACACCAATGTCTGGTACCCTGCCACACAACACCAATGGCAGGTACCCTGCCACACAACACCAGTGTCAGGTACCCTGCCACACAACACCAATGTCTGGTACCCTACCACACAACACCAATGTCAGGTACCCTAGCTACCACACAACATCAGTGCCAGATACCATACCACACACCACCAATGTCAGGTACCCTAGCTACCACACACCACCAATGTCAGGTACCCTAGCTACCACACTACACCAATGCCAGGTACCCTAGCTACCACACACCACCAATGTCAGGTACCCTAGCTACCACACAACACCAGTGTCAGGTACCCTAGCTACCACACAACACCAGTTCCAGGTACCATACCACACACCACCAATGTCAGGTACCCTAGCTACCACACAACACCAATGTCTGGTACCCTACCACACAACACCAATGTCAGGTACCCTACCACACAACACCAGTGTCAGGTACCCTGCCACACAACACCAGTGTCAGGTACCATACCACACAACACCAATGTCAGGTACCCTAGCTACCACACAACACCAGTGTCAGGTACCATACCATTCAACACCAATGCCAGGTACCCCAGCTACCACACAACACCAATGTCAGGTACCCTGCCACACAACACCAATGTCTGGTACCCTATCTACCACACACCACCAATGTAAGGTACCCTAGCTACCACACAACACCAGTGTCAGGTACCCTAGCTACCACACAACACCAGTGCCAGGTACCATACCACACACCACCAATGTCAGGTACCCTAGCTACCACACAACACCAATGCCAGGTACCCCAGCTACCACACAACACCAATGTCAGGTACCGTAGCTACCACACACCACCAATGTCAGGTACCCTAGCTACCACACAACACCAGTGTCAGGTACCCTAGCTACCACACAACACCAGTGCCAGGTACCATACCACACACCACCAATGTCAGGTACCCTATCTACCACAAAACACCAATGTCAGGTACCCTGCCACACAACACCAGTGTCAGGTACCCTAGCTACCACACAACACCAATGTCTGGTACCCTACCACACAACACCAATGTCAGGTACCCTGCCACACAACACCAATGTCTGGTACCATACCACACAACACCAATGGCAGGTACCCTAGCTACCACACAACACCAATGTCAGGTACCCTGCCACACAACACCAGTGTCAGGTACCCTAGCTACCACACAACACCAATGTCTGGTACCCTACCACACAACACCAATGTCAGGTACCCTAGCTACCACACAACACCAATGTCAGGTACCCTACCACACAACACCAGTGTCAGGTACCCTAGCTACCACACAACACCAGTGTCAGGTACCCTGCCACACAACACCAGTGTCAGGTACCCTAGCTACCACACAACACCAGTGCCAGGTACCCCAGCTACCACACAACCCCAATGTCTGGTACCATACCACACAACACCAGTGTCAGGTACCCTAGCTACCACACAACACCAATGCCAGGTACCCCAGCTACCACACAACACCAATGACTGGTACCATACCACACAACACCAATGTCAGGTACCCTATCTACCACACAACACCAATGTCAGGTACCCTGCCACACAACACCAATGGCAGGTACCCTAGCTAGCACATAACACCAATGTCAGGTACCACCCTACCACACAACACCAATGTCAGGTACCCTACCACACAACACCAGTGTCAGGTACCCTGCCACACAACACCAATGTAGGGTACCCTGCCACACAACACCAATGTCTGGTACCCTGCCACACAACACCAATGGCAGGTACCCTGCCACACAACACCAGTGTCAGGTACCCTGCCACACAACACCAATGTCTGGTACCCTACCACACAACACCAATGTCAGGTACCCTAGCTACCACACAACATCAGTGCCAGATACCATACCACACACCACCAATGTCAGGTACCCTAGCTACCACACACCACCAATGTCAGGTACCCTAGCTACCACACTACACCAATGCCAGGTACCCTAGCTACCACACACCACCAATGTCAGGTACCCTAGCTACCACACAACACCAGTGTCAGGTACCCTAGCTACCACACAACACCAGTTCCAGGTACCATACCACACACCACCAATGTCAGGTACCCTAGCTACCACACAACACCAATGTCTGGTACCCTACCACACAACACCAATGTCAGGTACCCTACCACACAACACCAGTGTCAGGTACCCTAGCTACCACAAAACACCAATGTCTGGTACCCTGCCACACAACACCAATGTCAGGTACCCTAGCTACCACACAACACCAGTGTCAGGTACCCTAGCTACCACACAACACCAGTGTCAGGTACCCTAGCTACCACAAAACACCAATGTCAGGTACCCTACCACACAACACCAATGTCAGGTACCCTACCACACAACACCAGTGTCAGGTACCCTGCCACACAACACCAGTGTCAGGTACCCTAGCTACCACAAAACACCAATGTCAGGTACCCTGCCACACAACACCAATGTCAGGTACCCTAGCTACCACAAAACACCAGTGTCAGGTACCCTACCACACACCACCAATGTCAGGTACCCTAGCTACCACAAAACACCAATGTCAGGTACCCTGCCACACAACACCAATGTCAGGTACCCTAGCTACCACAAAACACCAGTGTCAGGTACCCTAGCTACCACAAAACACCAATGTCAGGTACCCTACCACACAACACCAATGTCAGGTACCCTACCACACAACACCAGTGTCAGGTACCCTGCCACACAACACCAGTGTCAGGTACCCTAGCTACCACAAAACACCAATGTCAGGTACCCTGCCACACAACACCAATGTCAGGTACCCTAGCTACCACAAAACACCAGTGTCAGGTACCCTGCCACACAACACCAATGTCAGGTACCCTAGCTACCACAAAACACCAATGTCAGGTACCCTAGCTACCACACTACACCAATGTCAGGTACCCTGCCACACAACACCATATTGCACTGATGTAAGGTGCTCAGATAAATGGGGAACTCACCTAAAGGAAGGGTCGGTCTTTCACCTGCCAAGATAACTACTGGTGAATGTAGCTACTATATCTTCCTTAACAAATCGCCTAGCTGACAGGCTGAATAGAGTCTGTTTTTCAAATGATCTTCAGCGATTGCAAATAGGAACTTATCATTTGTGAGGAGAAATGATTTACCGATACATTTCTCTCGTTTTATTTGTTTCTTGCATCTGATTAGCCATTGACTTTCATAAAACTGGCCATCAGTAACACATACTGATGTAGGGCTTCTCGGTTTGCACCAATGGGTGCCCCAGTTCTAGTGTCCTATCATTACATGATGTATTGGTGTTGGAGTGGGTGGGTTTTTTGGGGTGGGGGGAGAGTCATGGAAAGATTATTTTTCTGACTGTTTTGCCACAGATTCATGGGTCTCATGTTTCACAACAAAGTGTATAGTTACAACCATAGCAATCCACCAAAACCAATTAAATTATGGCCTCTGATGCATACTTTCAACATACCAGATGGGATCATACCCTACAACTCATCCAAGGGTGAGGTGATATGGGCTTTAATGTTGTGTCAAAGATTATTGCACTTATATAGCGGTGTGTGCGTGTGTCTGCTTGTGCTAGTCAGGACCGATTTAATAGTGCTATCCCACAGAGATACTATGCCGCATTTTTTAACATGAATACCCCCACACAATACACTGACACCGAGCTGACTAGTCCTTGTTTTAGCCCCTTCATAGGGTAACAGGGTGACAACAAGTACCATCTTTTAACGTCTTTTGGTGGGACGTGGCCGGGAATCACACTCATGATCTTCTGCTCTCCCTCTAGACCACGCTCATCCATCCAGAAACATAACAACACAATTGTGTACAATTAGGATTCTGCAATAACAAAGAAGTAAATAATGTCATTGCATAGTCCACGCAGCATACCCAGAACAGACGAAGCTCTAGCCACTCAGCTGAGCACCCTCTTTATCACATTCTGAAGCTACATGTCAAGATTCTTGCGAGGAGCAAGGGCTGTTCAATGCAGCAGTCAGTAGTATTACAGCGCTATCCCCATGGCCTGGAAATGATGGTCTAACCAAACCAGTCACAGAAGATTGAGCATCAACAGTTTTGAAGTACGATGATTGTTGTTTAATGATGCACTCAGCAATATTCCAGCTATATGATGGTGGCTTGTAAATAATCAAGTTCGACCAAACAGTCCAGTGTTGATGTTGTGAACAATGATCCACACCATCGGGGTACAATGGCACTATCTCAACCAAGTCACCGAGCTTGACCACAAGATCCATTTGGTTTGCCTCCTTTGACCAGCATTGGTTGCGGCCGGGGGCATATTCGAACCTAAAATCTCCTCAGGACATTTTCCACAAGTGCTTGTTTTAAATAAATCAAGATACACAGACAGAACTGTTCTGATACAGTCAGATGCCATGTTTATGTTAGTATGCAGATTAGCTGTGACATCATATGGCAACATGATACATAATGCCCCATTGTTTGATAAAATGAGGCAATTTTCATGTTACAGCAATCCTTCATTTTATGATAATTCTATATATTTTAGCTATAATAAGTATGATGACAAGCAACCAACCCAGTCAACGCGACCCTATTATTTGTCAGCTCTCTGAGCTAGGATGCTGGGGAGGTATTCTGACCCCGAATCCCCCAGGGTACATCTTCTGACTGGAAGTGAACACATGACACACGTATAGAGGATATACAGATTTTATTAAACTTAACACATTTTACAAAATTGAACGTAGCAAAATTTGGATCTACATTGCACTACTACATAGACTAACCTCACAGTACAGGAAGGGCCTATTGTCTGTAAGTATAAAACCATTGATAAATATGCGTAAAGATACAAACACAGTGTTCCCAAGTAGTCATCTTTTTCATTCCCCCCATCAAGAAGCAATTTGTGACTATTTTCCCATGAGACCACTTAAATGTTTTTCAATTAAGGGGAGACAATTTAAACCCTTGATAGTGCAACCCTAACGCATGTACTGTACATTTTTGTTTTCTTGCGTTCAGACAAGACATGCAAAAATAATATATGATCAAATCCAGGGAGCTTGACATGATAGAACACTTCCTTATTAACCGCATTATGCCAACAATTGGATAATTGGGAAAATTTTACCGAGCAAAACGTAACAAATATTACACGGAGGAAAAATCTAGAATCTTTGAGCCTTAGGTTATTCTGCATTATGTGCATTGCTCCTGAGACAAATGGCTTTATAAATATCTACGAGTTTTCATACACAATATAACTACAGCAACTGATGGACGGACGGCAAGACATTATCAAAATATCTTTAAATCACTAAATTTGTGGAATAAGCTTATTTGTCAATGATACAGCATCATTCCACAACATAGTACAATCCATAGTGTACTTTTTGTTTCTTAGCACAATTCAAAACATTTTCAGAAAAAAGGAAACGCTCTCCAGAAGGCCCAAGATAAAAGTTTCTAATGCAAGTTACAATTTCATACATTTCTTTGAAATCACATCACTTATTATATATTTCATGTTTAAATTATATGCATGACCTTTGACAAAACAGCTTGTTCTACATAAATCTGTTTAAATGTTTAACTGATAACTAGTGCAGAATGGTCAAAACGTGACCTGTTGAAAATATTTTCGAAGACCTTTTCTGATTGACAATTGATATTGATAACAATGCACAGGCAACTCTTACAAAGAAGTGCTCCTCCTTCGTGCAAACACAACCCCTGTCAGAACCAACATCCCTCCCCACCTAAATATATACAGCAAGAATTTCAAACAAATTCCAATTTTCAAAAGAAATAAAGTCAAGTTCTAAATTTTCACAAAAATTTAAAATACTGGTATGCATTTCTTTTACTACAATTTTTACCCTACAATACATGAAAGGGAGAGCACTCCTTCATACAGTAACAATGAAATGTCCTCGCACAACACAGACCTGTTTTACCCTCATGTGCCCACCCCCAGCAATATGGCCGCCATATGTACTGCTTCAAACAAAATGCCAGTGATATTAAAAATTGAAAGAGTTCTCGTATTTACAATTTCTCCAAAAGTAAATAATATCATCCATATTCTGAACATAAAACTCCATCAAAGTTAAAATATAAATTAGAAATTGAAATCAATAATGACAAAATATAGGCCATCAACATCACCTTGTATTGAGGCATACACCACTGACAATGTCAAAGCATGTTACCATGGTTACCCTTGAACTAGCATGAGGCCATGTGGACTGTGGAGAAATGCAGTTTGCTTCATGAACAATGTTAGCCTGATTGACACAGAAGGCACAGGTGACGACAGACAATCAACATGTTCTATTTACATACACATATATGTACAAAACATGGTCAAACAACATTAACAATGTGAGCTAAGAGCAAAAATTTAAGCAACAATATTACCTCATCTCTTGACGGAGAGCATAAATATCAATTGAGTTTTCAACAATCTGTAGTTTTCTCTTTCATTTAATGTATACCCATCGTTTCCCATCCACTGTTCAGGAAACAGATACAGGGGTGCAATGATTCACCAATGCTTAGTGCATCACGATACTTTGTGCCACGATAATATTTCAAGCAATATTTTCCGACAAAAATCACAAGTTCTCAAGCCATTGATAATTTGCTAGACTCAAGACTTACTTCAAGTGTCTGAGTTGGACCTATGTTGATTCCCATGAGGATGGAACATGGCTCCCATACTATTCCAACAGCATGTACATGAGTTCTGAATGAACTATAATCTACCCCATCAGAGTTGAAATATGGCTTCCTATGATGGCAAGTGTTGAGTTTGTATGTATCATGTATTGTATCGTGGCCCGATACATATGTATCTCATCCTACTAAGTGTATCATTAAAACCCTATAAAGATATTTGTGTCTGCTCATGTTAGTTATTAAGTAGTCGGACATTTCCAATATTCAAAGTGAAAGACATGGACAAAAATTCGTTGAGTTTCATCTTTTGTGATCAATATGCTCAAGAGTTGTAAGTGTGAGACATCACAGATCCGTGACTAGAGAACAAAAATGCATGACATTAAAGGTTCTTGATGCAAATGTACATTAGCAAATTCTTTTCAATAGAATCTACAGAGCTTTGCCAAATTAAAGAACTGTATGAAAAACTATTACTCTAAATTTATTATTATTTAGAAGTAAGTTCCTTCTTTAGGAAATATGCATGACATAGTGAACATGTTCTAGCAACAGAATTGATCAAACTGACACAAAATTTTATTAAAATGAAAATCAAATTATTCAAAGAAAGTGACCAAGTACTCTGCAAAGTTTAGATTTGATGATGAGAATAAAAACCACAAAAATAAGGATGTATGGCACATTGGAATAACAAATAACTATAAAATTAACTACACATTGTTTCATAAAAAATATATTAAATAAATGTAATACAAACTAAAATGGACGGTTCATTGAGAATTGGCACTAGAAATAAACCCATTAAAGTTTAGCACTAAGTACTAAAAAAATAAATATCACTTCATGTTATTAAGAAGAAAGAAGTTCTTGAAATAACAATGGCTTCCCACCAAAACACTATGAAATAACAAACAATACCAATTTCAACAACTTTGATTCAACAGCTGTTGCAAGCACTATGCCTAAAGAATGTACTCAGACCTACAAAGACTTAAGTACATGATGTCCAGCCTGTTACCACAGCAACCAGGCAGAACATAAAATAGCAACAAAACACTGTGTCCTGGTTCTACCCAGATAAAATCTTATTCCACAACAACCTTTCCTCACAGACATGCATGTCTTAATGAACAACAAATTCAACAGTTGGACGGTTAGAATCCTTTTCAATATGTCAATCATATTTACCAGAAATGAAATTACATTGAGTGTGAGTTTACAAACTAAGAGAGAACTGCATGAGTTTTATCAAATTTTAAAAGGCACTTTTAATGCATTGCTGTGTGATAGAACGAAGCAAACCAGTCAGTTTGGATGACAGAAGTTTCACATACATCAATTTCCTTCTAGATCAAAAACATCAAACAAGTATTCATGAAAAGAGGAGCAATTATAGTTTTGAAAGAGCTGACATGAGATAATTTGCTCTACTGACATACATGATATATACATTAATACCATACAAGAGGTAGAAATGGATCACATTAAACAAAATTGGTGCTGATGAATAAAGACAATATACATGTATTACACAGATGTAGTGGCACGCATGTTTGAAAAGGTCACATGAGCAGGGCAAAATGTACACAATAACCAATCAGATCAGCCAACAGATTTCGTGCAGATAATTGTTCCAATATATTCTTAGCATTATTACTTCAGATCATGATAACACGGACCTAACAAAACATTACATAAATGTGGACAGATATCAATTTCAGATTCGTATTCAACTTTTAACAGAAAAAAGTTTAGCATGGTCATAACATACAAAAAAGTTTGTACCGAATGGACAAAAAACAAAATACTAAAACCCCTTTCTTTAAGTAAAGCATTACTTTTTAAACAAGATCACTCTCAATGAGTAAATATAGTTTCAGGAAAGCAGTCCATCTTTAAAGCTTATGGCTCATGAGCATGTTCAAAGCAATCATCTACCGGAAAAATCTGAGTATTTAATGATGTCTTGTATCACCTGGGTGTGTATCTCAAGTACAGAGATAATTTCATATCACAAGGCCTTGAAAGAGTCTTTGACAAGTAGTTTCACAAGCAGTAAAACTGTCAATATTGTGGATCAATGTGTAACGTCACAAGGAAAGATGAGATTTCGGCCACCACTGCCAACTGCGTGAGTCGGCATGATGTCCATCTTTCTCGAAAGGTGCTTGCTTGTCTCATGTCTTGGTTTCTCCTGGACTACAATTTCTTCCAAATCCAAACAATTATTCAACCAGAAACCGAACAACCATCATAACCCAAAAACATTAAATTAATCTTCATAATTCATATCTCTTTAATATCATTCAAAATTGTTGTCAGAAGAAAACATCTTCATTAATTATGCTGGAGTTATTCCATATGATCTCTTCCTTCAAAATGAAAATTGGTTAAGTCTGGTCATGCTGACATCCTATGAGAAAGGAAACCATTGTGTTAGTGGAATCAGAGGAGAAGAGGCTGGCCAGCAACCTAACTCAGACGACAGTGGAACATTACTACTGATTCCATCCCGAGTCCTGCCTGTACCAGTCACATCCCCAGTTGGCTCAACACAGATCAGGGATGTCCCGGTGGGAAATAAGTAGATCAAAAACCTTAGTGTACAGGTTACAATCAGCAAAATCCATTTTTTGAAATAAGTTTTCTGTACAATATCACATCTACTGACCAATCACATCCTTGCCCTTGCAGCCGACTGTCCAGTCACATCTGGCACATGCTACTTGCCTGACAACATGCCGTTAGAAGCTGCCGACAAATGTCCTCGCACACAAGAGAGGCATACTTGTAGCATGATGGTTTTGGGAAAAGTCAATATTCTGTACACATTTCTCATGATAAATACACAACTCCTGAGATGGCAATTCAAAGTTAAGCCAGGTAGCAATGAAACTGATAACCCAGCTTTAATGTCAAGAAACTGACAATACTTGGAGTTACGTTCGATGGCTGTAGTTGCTATGGTGACTGCCAATTGATGCAATGTCTGCCTGAACTTCAGGATCTTTGTGAAGTTCATCAATCTCTTCTGGCTGCACACGGCGATGGTCAGACCGAAGTGACCTTGCCGACTTGTTGGACTTGTTACTTTTGTTGGACTTTGTCGATTTGGCACTTGTACTATTGGCATGCAGGGACTGACGATGCAACAGGTTTTGGCTAATTGTGCGATGGAGATTCTTGTTACTTGATGAGGCAGCATTTGTTGTGATCCACGGGTGTTTCAAGCACTGTGCCGAAGTGCCACGAGTATCCGGATCCAGAACAAGAAGCTTGCTGATGAAGTCCTTGGCTAGTGCAGACACATCCTTCCAATGCTGAAACACACACAACACAGTGTTTTACAAATAAATTATGTATGAAGACTTCTTATCGTTAAACTACAGAGTAAGACATTTCACTAAAAGAAAAAATCTACAGAAGATTTCTATGTATAAAAATGAAGACAGTTTAGGGTTACACAATGCCATATCAGGTCAGTGAGACCGTAAAGAATGAGGAGAAAAAGCTCCGTAACATGACAATTTCAGGATGGAATTGTGGAGTCAGGAAATCAATGGAGACCTATATTTCTAGTCATTAACTTGGTGCAAATATTGGCACGAACATGAATGCCAAGTCCAGTTGTTTGGAAAAGATGCAAGACATAGACATCAGCTCACTTTGACTCATAGTCCCAGTCATTCCCGAGACAATGGGAGTTAACAGACTTTAAAAGTTCAGTTTCAACCCTTGCAGAACTAAGCTGGAATTATGAAGTTACATTTCGGCTTGACTAACGAGTCTATGCATAGTCCAAGCAAAATCCTGTAAGGATATCGACATCCTGTTCATAAATAACATGGCAACTCCTACACTGAATTCATTCGATTGCAGGATTTGCAGAGCATGTGTACCATCAAGTGGGCGTTGACAGTTATTTCCCAAAACTTTTCATGTTTATAATGAAGGGGCTCAAGTGATTTGATGCACTTTGCGAGGCAAAGCCAGTTTTATTACCATATAGATCTTTATTATTGATGAGATCGTCTTGACTAGGTGCTACCATTTTGTTTGAAGCAAATGCAAGTGATATGAGAGGTGGAATCTAATTGGTCGGTAGGGGGGACATAGAAGGGACATAGAAGGGACTCGTAATAGCCACTGGTGGCGCAAAGATCGAGCCAAGAAATTCCAGGCTAGTTCGGCAAGGGTGGAAAGTGGACTTTTAAAGTCACTTAACTCCCTTGCCTCGGGAAAATGAGTCCCAGTGAACTTAACACTGTGAACCCACTCCCCAATAATATATACCCAACGGAGCCAGCCAACCACTGAGCCTTGCCAACTGTTCCTGTGGACGATGAGACAGCATGCATGACCACACCTCCACTATCCTTCTCCCCTCCAGTGATCAACAGCAGATATTCATACCTTTACCATATACAGTCTATGATAAATCACATCTGATCAATTTTACATAACCTTTCAATAAATGCAATACAAATCACTTTTAAAACCTTCCAATAATAAGCTATTCAAGTATGAACATCTAAACAGCAAGTACACAAATATCAAGAAATCAAGTGTTTTAGTCATCACTATTTGACATATGACAAATCTTATATTTTGATAACATTTTCATAGTAAAGTACAAATTCTAGTTCTTTTGTGGGTTGAGTCCCATCCAGGAATCGAACCCACACTCAGAGAGTGAGGCACATAATTGCCAGCACACAAAGTCAGTGTTCTAATCCACTCAGCCATGTTAATTGACATATTAAAAAAAATGATGTATCAAAATACATGTGTTATTGATGTTGGGGAAGGTTTGGTACTGAAACTGAAGTGCTACTAAACAAGGTAGACCTGGGAAGGGAGACCGGCCCCCAATGTATGAAGCTGACTATACCTGGGCTTGTGAATGGGGAAAAGAAAACAAGAGTATTTTAGTTCTGACTCTACACAGGAATAGATCAGTGTGGGTTAGGAGCAATTATTCACTCTCGAGATGCCATCATATGTTCCTGTAACTCAGAATGACCCTGCTTCACAGTGCCTGCCATACAACATGCAATACCTCAAACATTAAGTCGGGACCAGACCTAACCTGACAGTGGCAGTGAGCCTCAAGCTGCCTTCCACTTTGTGTTGTATTAGCAGACACTGCAGCCTACTGCACAGTCGGGGGGGGGGGGGGGGGGGGGGGACAGGGGGAGGGGGCAGCAGTTGGCAGCAGGGACTTGGCTCACAGCATTGAGAAGGAAACCCACTCTATAGTCCATTTCATTCAATAACTACATGTGTTGTTCAGGAACAAAAGAAAAGGTTTATATTGTATATGGTACAAACGATCATGACATCCAATATTTCCTATCATATCTCTTGTACAACCTCACTTCAAAATACCCAGTTCAGATGAGTGACTGTTACATATTGTAGCGCTAAATTCAGCTCGGGTCTGGACGTAATCAGTGCCCAGCGTGAAATGGATGCATGGCAATTAGATACTAGACTCATCTTCTTAAAAAAACCTGTGAAATAGCAGATGAGTAACATATTTGAATGACCTGAATAATTCATAAATTGACCCAAGCATAGTTTCTCTACTAGTTTACTTGTAAACTATAATACTAATGTGCTGATTCCTGGATTGTGACAATCATATTGTAACCCCTTCATCACACATCTATACTGTCAGAAACATGTCACCAAACTTCTTTCTATTACAATTCATTATTGGAACAAAGATTTCAAAGAAATTATGATATGCATAAAAGGATATTACACATGCAACACATTTGTATGTGAATGCTGCCTTTTGTGAAGATGAGAATTTATAGCCATACACTATACAAGCATGAACAGCGTCATATAACATGCCGTCTACTGATAGCAATGCCTTGTAATGTTTACAGCTGGATCGAAACAGTGATATACCAGAATGTGTCTTCAATTCTGGATACAGTTCTAAGCAAATCAGAGAAATTGTCAAAATGGTGAGAGTGCTGTTTAACATAACAATAGTCCAGCTACATGTATATTAGAGTGGCCTGCAAATAATTGAATCTAGGACAGACAATTAGTGCCTGTACAGTTTGTTTGAGAGCTATCAGCACTGAATTCTGTCAACAGAATTAGTTGCTACCATAGTAACCTCCCCTTGACATGAGTCAGTCGAGGTCCTCAGTGGATTGTTAACCAGTACCACAACACACATATTATGTATCATACTGAAATGGATTCTCAGATACCCAGCCCCTTTGAAGTTGTAAAATACAATTTAACTACCACACAGACATGAAACAACCCACACCATCAAATTGATAATCCACATAATCATAAGAAAATATGACAAACGACCTCATGACACAGTATGCACATCCATGTATATAGCATCACAATGTTATTAATGAACTGTTACATCTGCGGTGTAAACCGGTACATCATTGGACACATTAAACATATTAAAGACATAATTGACAGATAAATACATTCTTGTGCAAAGATAAACAAGAAGACAAAATCATTGATATCCCTGGTCTTTTTAAATATGTGTATAGAATCACATTACGTTTATCACATACCTCATACAAGAAACGTTACCGTAATCGCCATATTAAGCCCCCTGCTCCAATATTAAGTGTCCCCTGGCCAACTTTTAGATCAATTTGTAAGTTATCTCTACAAGTGACCCTTCAAAGGCCGAAAATTTATACGACAGTCCATTTTTGGTGTATATTAGATATTTTACAGAAAACAGCAGTGCAGAAGGGATACATACTTGCCCAGAAACTATTAAAGAAAAAGTTTAAGTTTCATCAACATTAGAACAAAGTAGGCTCACTACCACTCAATCGCTTAAAACAGATTAAACTTGTTGTGTACAGTAAAAAGAGCTCCCCTTTGCCAATTTTAAAATGTTCCCAGGGTGCTTATTACAAGATATATGGTAATCCTAAAAGTTTCTGAATACAATTGTCATTATGATTGATGACTAAACCAAATGACTCCCTCTTTTCTTCAATTTCTTCCACTACGTCCCAAAGACATAAATCAGTAATGGTACTTTTATAAATAGAGCAATTCATTTGACAGCAATGCTAACATATTTTCAAAACTCCAAATCATAATTCCATAACAAAATATCCTGCAAATGAATATATGATGTATGTTGCTGATCTTGCTTTCGATTAAACACTTATTAGTTATGACCAGGGGCGTCTATTATGGTTTTTTCACTATTGCAAAAATATTGCAATAATTCCCCACACTATTGCAATAGAATTGTTATAATTATAATAATTATTTTAATCAGAATATGTAATAGAAATGAACAAAATATCACTTACAGTTATTCCTCCATATATACTCACAAGCTCCTCACAGCGATAGTGCGTTCCCGGAGCTCTCTATACTATCGCTGCCACCAGTCAAAACTCCACACTGTGAATAGGTGGCCACAACCATGCTTGGAGTTGAACTCGCAATCGAATGACCGTTATGTTTACAAACAAGTGACGACTGTCGTGACGCCGAATACACTTATCGCTGCTAAATTACTTTCTTCGTTTGTCAATTTAAATTTCTGTTTATTAAAACTATCGTGTTATTGATATCGTAAGAATGTAAGGGAGAAGTTGGTTGATTTTCCGTTAGTCTGCAATCTCGAACCAATCTGATTATCAAAACAACAAAGTAAATTCATCTGGAAAACATGGTCAGTCGTAAAGCTTTTCAAATTGAAATATGATGGCATCCCCAAAGACATAAACAAAAGTATAAACATTACTACATATGGGGTTGGAGGGCAAATTTCAAGATTCTTGTAATGGCCGCGCCCACACTGGTGGCAGCGATGTTACCGAGAGTGTAACGAAGGTGTCACGTGCTGGGAAGGAGCTTGATATACTCAAACCAAAGGGAAGTAACTCTAATCTGAAGTTGTAATCCTTGCTGTCAACACATGGCAGTTGTGAAATTTGACTTTAAAAACTGACTTTTCTGATGCATAAATAATGTTTTATTCATAACTAATTGCGACTTTTGAAACTATCAATTGTTAGCCATACTATCAATACCACTGGGGTTTCTAAATTCCCATCAATATAGTACAATCGTAGGTCAAACAATTGCAATACATTGATAGTTTGATCCACTATTACACTTCTCATAACGAACCACATCCGACTGTCAAGACACAATGTCACCAACTCACCGTCCTGTGTTGTGTTTATGCTACCCACTCACTGTCCTGTGTTGTGTTTATGCTACCAACTCACCATCCTGTGTTGTGTTTATGCTACCCACTCACTGTCCTGTGTTGTGTTTATGCTACCAA